ATCAACTTGTTCACCTCAGCCGTTGAAATTCCCACCACTGAAGAGACAAAAAAATCTGTTGTCCTGATGTCACTAAAGGGTAAGGCCTTTTCTCAAAGGGTTAGTTCACCAAAAAATTAAAATTCTGTCATTAATTACTCACCCTCGTGTTGTTCCAAACCAAAAGAAACGCAAAGAAAACAAAAATAACGACTTTATTCTACATTTTTGTCTCTTCGCAGTAGAGACGAAAATGTGGAATAAAGTAGTTATTTTTGTTTTCTTTGCGCAAAAAAGTATTCTCGTAGGGCGGATTCCCCAATATGACAGTGTGGACAACCATTCAAGGGACATGGACAAACTCTTCTTTTTTATTAAATAAAAATATAGTTTTATTACCAGTACTGAAAACAGAACCGATACGGGAGCTTTTGATATGCGCTGTGACGCAGCTCTTGATTAGGAAATCGCAACGTCTCAAATCGCGATTTCGATTCGATTTCGATTAATCGCACAGTCCTACTATTAAGTTATCATGGCAAATGAGTTATTTATGTACAGGACACCAAAAGGCACCCTACAGTGACCCGTATATATAAATATAATAAAAATAAAAAATGAAATAAAAATGATGTTCTCTGTATTTTTGAAAAAAAAATAAGAAAACAAATATATATATACTGTTCTCAGTATCTTGTTTTCCAGTGCAAATGCGTATAGATTCTCAAATCAAGATTTACTTCAGAAGCAAAATTACAAAAGATAAGAACTTGTTTTCTGTGAAATTCATCAAAATTAAGTGAGAGTATGATTAAAACAAGAACAATTATCTGCCAATAGGCTCAGAAAAATGTATTTAATTCAAAGGCGAAACATGTTTTCTGATCCCACTGACAGATATTGGTTCTCGTTCCAAGCATAAACTCACTTTATTTAGTTCAACTTCTCGGAATACAAGACTTTATATCTTATTGTTTCATTTCAAGTAAATGTATCTTGATTTACAGATGTTTAGATATTTGTATTGGGAAAAAAATATATAAATGTTTTGAAAACATGCAACATTTAATGCCATGACTTTATAAATGTAAGACTTTCTGCTCTGACTTAAGATCTTTCTGAATAAGGACTGTTTTGGCACAAAAACCTTGAAAATCAGGGTGAAAATTGAAACAAAAACATGACATGCCCCCTTTAAACTACTTTATGTGTGTGTTAATTATTCAGCAAGTGTTGACTTACAGCAGCCGAGCGGCCTCATCTCTGCATTCTGTGTATAAACCTGAGAGATGTCAGCGATCCTTTTACAAAGCATGTCTACTGGAATCTCATAGCCATACTTGTACTTCCAGTTGGCGGCCTCATAGCGAGCTCGCTGCACTTGAGACCTGCTGTCAGCTGAACGCAAAACACAAGCCATTAATGAGCGCATCAGTTTCAGCAGACACCATGAAAATGACTATGTGGATGAGATCTGTACCTGTCATTCCTGACATCACGCAGCCGATGTTCTCTGTGATTCTGAATAAGTGTGTGACAGTGGAAGAATCAAGCAGCTTGTCCTGGAAAACACAGACTGTCTTAGATCACCAGCACCACTGGAACTCAACTTACCAGTAACATTAATAAGAGTAACCCTTTCCACAAACCAATTCAAATGAATGTTTGTATGTGTTGCTTTATTTGTGGGCAGGTTATAACATAGCCAATTACAACATTGTTTATTTCTCAAGTCGATTCTGAGAGAATTTCCCCAATTTGGGTGGAAAAAGGGTACATGACAGCAGACTTACTGGGACTTTTTTCTGTGTGACGACTACTGCACAGTCTTTCCCCCGAACAGCAACTGATGTCAGACCACCCTGGTTTATGGCCTTGAACGCATATTCTGGAAAAATGTAATGAAAGTTATTTAGAAGGTTAAAAGTTACTAGCAAATTTATTTCAAAATTTGGCACATTTCTCTATGGGAATAAGCTTCAACACTCAATAGAAAAGAAAAAAAAAAAAAACTCCAAAAAAGTTTGGAGATTAACAAAAAATAATATTAAATATCAAAAAATAAATACACAAATTAAATAAAGCTGCTTCTCAGACTGGTTGAAAGAAATATAATATTCTACTACCATTATGCTTTAACAATCAAAACAATGTACTTTTGTGTATTTTACAAAGTTTGTAGCTTATACAAAATCCACAAGGAAAAATAAAAATGTAATCAAATATGATTTACAAGAAAAATCCTGGTCCTTTGATTTTATTAATAATTTTATATTTTTTAATTATTCATGCTTTTTATGCACCCGATACCACCGTGCTATTTCAAAGATATATTGTTATTGCCAAGTTGTTTACATAAATTGTTCAACAAAACTGTGGCATTCTGGCGGAAACTGCGGTTGCCATGGTACATTTTTGAAAAGAAAACCTCACCAACCAATATGTTGGTGCCTCAGCAACATATGTATTAATGCACATCACTGTTGCATTAGATCAAGTACTATACATTTAGAAAATAGTTTTAAATTGAAATCAGTAAGTGTGTGATAGAATTATTACATTATTAAACATCACTGAGCCTATTCTCCATCACTCACTCTCTGCTAGTGCTAACGGTCTAGCTACTAGACTAAATGAGACTTTATCTATAAAAACTAGAAAAAAATACACACTTACAGGTAGAAGACATTTTATGTGACAGAATAATAATAATAATAAGAGTTGATACTAACTGTTGGTGTAAGAGAGAGTGAACGTGAGCTGCTCTGTAGGCGACATGACTGTGCACTTACTAGCTCCTATCTAAGTCAAATAAAGTCGTCCGTACTCACCTACTTGGTAAAGTCTTCCCTCCGGAGAAAAGATGGTGATGTGACGGTCAAACCCCGCGCTAGAACCCCGGGACATGTTTAGAAGAAATGTATTAACCGTAAAATTGCAAAAGTGTTACAGACTACACAAAATAGCGACATACAGAACGAATGACCCGGAAGCAGTGAATTGTTTTTCCGGGTCACTGTCGGACTCGAAGGTGTGCAGTCACTTGTTCAATTTTGCACTTAAAGAAATGTTATATAGTGTTTCTCTGTTTACAAGACTGTTGTCCCGCTAATTTATGTTTTATTTTTTTACTGTACTTGCAGATAATATAATATTGATGAAATAAAAGGCCATATATATATATATATATATATATATATATATATATATATAT